CAGCTGAGAATGCGCAGGCAAGTTCCAAGATCTTCTTCCGGGCGCTTTCAACCTTATGTTAGAAATTCTTCGCGTGGGGGCAATCGCGACGTTGTCGAACTGCCATCTTACTTCAAGGATGTTTGTGTTCTTCCCAGCCCTTCTTGGGAAAGAGTACCTCGTGGAAAAATGAAGGCGTTCTGTATCAACAAAACGTGTATGTTGATGCATGGGAAGTGAAAAAGGATTGGGACGAGGTAACCCTCAGAGAGGAAATACGCGAGCTGTTCTCATCCATCCTCAAAGATGAAAGAGGTGAAGAAATTGGGTACGTAGAGTGGTATTGAGCATTTTTTAAAAGTACAGTATTTGGGTAATTCTAATTAATTAGCCCTGCGGCATACGGTTTTTCATCCTTTTGGGTGACGGCTTCGGAATCGTGAAGTACTCCTTCCGGGTTTTGCGGCGTCGTTCCTTCAAGCTCCGATAACTTACCTTGAGCTCTCTTCTCTAAAATACATTGAGGTGAATACAATATGTAAATCAAAACTGGTCAATGAAAGTTGATATTTTTTAACCTTAAGACATATGATTACAAAATTTCTGACAGTTAATCTAGAATGGAATTGTTGTTTCATCCAATGACCGGGCTTTTCGATCGCTGTAGGGATAAATTGAAGGAGAAGGCTGCCAGACAAACTTTCATTGACATGTATAGCTTGTGTTGCACATTTCTGGTGCATACATGGTTGAAATAAATAAATTATCACTTTCTCTGGCATTGCGGCGCATTTTGCGGGCTAAATAAATCAAAGAAAACAGACATGATGTAAGCAGCCAATCAAAATCGAGAAGCCATTGCAATGTTCTGTCATCGTTTGTCACAGAAAGGTCGCTGCCATTTTTAAAGCTAAAATCATGGCTGGAAACCACTGCTAACGCCAACTTTGACCTTTGAATAAGGGTTGAAAGGATGGCAGGGAGAAATGGTCCATTTACATGTATGAGGGCGGGGGAGGGGGATAAAGCTGTGGATGAAGTGATGAAAATGAATGTGGTAGTGAATGTGAAAGTGAATGCCACTGTGTTACTTGCAGCAAAATGTCAAGAGTCTCGTTGCGAGGGTTGATTTTGCAGCTTACTGAAAAATTCTATCAATAACTTTAAAAGTGTGGTTAAAACTTTTGGTTACTGAAGTCATTCTTTTCTTTATTTTTCTATAGTCTGAATCTGACTGTGAAGAAGAACCAGGAGCACAGACTACCCAGCAAGGTACTGATATAAGACAGTTCGCAAGTATTACTAGCACTACTGCTGGTGGTATTGATGGTACCACAGGTGGTACAGGTGGTGGTGGTGCTGCTGCTGGTGCTATTGATGGGTTGACTTCAGCAAGCACTAAAGCCAGGCTAGAATTTCTAACAGATCAACTCTAGAGTATGTTTCCAGAAAGGATGACGGAACAGGAAGATATTTCGTCTTGTTACTTCACGATCGAGGAAACTTGGAGCCGTTACATTAGTTACTTTGCTCACGCTTCACTATATTTACCGGACTTCGATACTTTCGTTTGGAGGCTGCCTTCAGGAACCCAAGCCAATTCTCAGGTATGTTTTAGATAAATGTCTAAATGTGTGAATAAACGAGGACTGGGGAAATTTGGAGCTATACCACATGAAGAATAATGCCGCAGAAAACAACTACTAAATTAAAGTTTTTGTCACCGTAAAAACCTGTTCTTCGTTTTTGAATTATGTCAGTTCAACGAGTCTCGATATTGTTTTGGAAGTATCTTCTAGTGAAAGAAGAAGAGTTGTTCTAGTGATGGAAAGTGTCCAAATTTCTCCTTGCGGCCTTATTTGCAAACGCAAGGAGAGCTGATGTTAGCAAATTTCGGGTTGAAAATACGGCCATTTTGAGACTCCGACCACGAAAACTGATATTCTTACTTTTCTCGAAAATAAAAGCCTTTTTGAGAACAACTTACATCAGATTACTTATCTACCTAAAAGCTATTTATGGACAAAAATGAAGGAAATCGATTTTTCAACTCTTCCCACTCAATGGTCGATATTTCGTCGCTCGTAAGGTGGCTCGATACAGTTTTCCAGGGCCAATACCTCCCAAGTTTGAGAGTAAACTACGTCACCATAAACAAATTTTTGAAAAAATTGCCACTACAGTTGTACTAGATAAAGATGGAAATTTGTTGTGATCAGGGTTGTAATGACATAGGAGTTGTCATAGCAACGAAATGACGCTATTACCTATTTTACTTACAACAGTATATATCGGCACTGGGAACTGTTCTTCCAAAATCATTCACGGAAGCTTTTTCCTCCAATAGCCGCCTCGATGTTCGTGAAGTTTAAGCGAAATCTGTAAGAGCGTTATCGAGATATTTTGGATAAAGATTTTGTGGTTAGAAATACGGTAAAAAATGAACAATCTCTATGTTCGACTGTTATCTGTAGAAAACGAAGCGCTTTTGACATGCAATTTCACCTCAAAGTAGTTTCAATCTTTTTAAAAACGTGTGTGAAAGATCATGGAGATAACTCCAGCCGATTGCTAGAAAGAAAGATTTGATTAGTATGTATCCAGGCGCTCTTGTTAGCGGTTTTTGAATATTTTGGTCTACTTTAACAAACTAGCAAATAGTTTTTAAACCGCTCAATAGATTTTTTTTAAAATTTAAGATTCTTAAAGTGCTACTACGATCAAATCTTTGACTACCATTTTTTTTCGCTAGATTGGCAGTTTAGTACTTGAAGTACATGGTGTGCAAATTATAGCTTCATACGATTAAGGAAAGTGGTATTTTTTGGCGCTCAAAAACCATTAATTTTCGTCCGCCATTAAAACGCTTTGTTCCTGTGGCCTGGTTACCAAGAACACAAGGCAATTGCTTTGTGACGTCATTTACTTAAGGCAGTACACACAGCATGATAATTTTCTTCCACGAACCCTGCTCAACAATGTTCCCTTTCCTCCCACTTCGATGCGTTCTTGTTTAGGAAGACTCTTTCGATCTTACTACATTATCCTCCGTATGCAGCAACCGCTTCAATCGATAGAATCTGACCAACTGAATGTGAGATTCGAGGAATAGGTTTGTTTCCAGCTGACAGTTTCGCTGTTTTCTCGGTTTGATAACTTCGAAGAGTGCTGCAATAGCATTTACGGGGCTTTCAACGCAAACCAGTGGGGGAAAATTAAACACGGATCGTTTGCTAGCATATGGAAGAAAGATCAATCGACAGATCTTGAATCCGGAAAGAAATCTTCGCATAAAGAGGGAGGGCATGGAGGTAAGCTTACAGTTCGCAAAACTTGCAGTGAATGTCCCCAACGCTAAGTTTATTTATATCGCCGGTGGTGATTTTTGCTTTTACTACTAGCGAAGTCATCAAAGATAAATTTTTTCTTAGACCTTTCTTCGACTGGAACGCGACGACTACGAAACTTTTAGGAAACTTTCAAAAAGATTTGCCCTAAGGTAACAGATCACAGAGAGCCCTCTAGTTTTGTAAACACTATTATTGTAGTGTACTATTTTTTCTTTTACCACCATTAACATTCCTTTGAGCTTTTATAAAAAGCGTTAAGGCTCTATTTGTAAATTTTTAATATAGAATATTAAAGTCTATCAGGATCATGGTGCAATCTGAATGGTATGATATTTTAATATACAGTAAATTCCTTAGTATATCCAACATTCTGGTCGCCATAACCCTCACTAAACGAAAGGTATGCTTTGTTCAATTTTAGTCTTCCCAAAACTCAGAGCCTGATTTAAACTGCACAGACACATTGTCAGATCAAACCACGAGCTAAAGCAAGAGAGCCCACACAAGTTTATTGCAAAAACTGTTTTTGCAATTTTGTAAAATACAGCAAGAATTATTGCCATTTACTGATGTGGTCTTTAAAATAAAATTGTGATCCTATCTTGAATGTTGTGTATTGTTATTCTTTTGAGTGAATAACGAAAAGTTTTGCAATCTCGCATTGAATACTTATAATAATTATAATTATAGTATATCATAATTTGAGATGTAAACTCCCACACAGGGGCACTCATGCACTGAATCACTGAAGTGATGTGACTGACAGATTGCAAGTTAAAAAGTAATAATCACCAAGGCTTGGTCACTGAAATATTTACTGCAACTAAGGGTTATGTACATGTATGAGATAGTTTCATGGCCCCTGCTCATCACTGCTGCTTTATGTTTCACTACTCAAGGTTGTGCTCTCCCAGCACCCAGTTGGCCCATGGTGCCTAACTATTGTTCCGGGGCAACTAGGAAATTTTTTCATAGAAATCATGTGCTGGGTACCCAGGATTTCACGGTTCCGGAGCACTGGGCTCCTTTCAATTTTTCTTAGAGCACAGCCTTGCTACTTCAAAAAACCTTGGTGTATCTTTTAGTATGGGATAGACTAATGTTATTCCTGTCAATGAGGAAGCTTCATGGCCCCTTACCACATATACAAAGGCACTGTCCAACCTACTGTAACAATTGATCTGCACACTTGTTGATCACAAGATAAATGTGAGGCCCCAGCTAAGAACCTGGAGGACAAGTTTAGGTCTTATGTACCGTGTGCAATATACAAATCCATTAGTTTTTACTCATACCAGTGATTACAATAAACAAGCCAAGGGCGGTAATACTGTTTAAAGGCTGCAATTTTATTGTTCTTTGTTGCCTGATTTAGCATAGTCTATTTTGGGGGTATTATATAGCCTGAGCCAAGCTAGGGCAGGGCCCACGCAGGGCAAAGGGGCTTCCCCACTTTTTGAAAAATAAATGAATAAAATTAAGTACAGTGGAACCTTGATATAAAGAAGGGCCAAGGGACTGGCAAAAAATGTTTATTATAACGAGGTTTGTTAACTTTTATCCAGGTTCTTTTTCATATTGCCTTATATTTTACTATTACTGGAGTAAAAAAAAAATAGTTTGTTAGACCGAGGACTTCGTTATAGAGGTTCCATTGTAATATACATTTTC